CCCACCAACCTCTTTCGCCATCGATGCCTTTCTCACAAAAGGAGCGTTAACGACTTGCGAAGTCGACTGAACCACGGAGTGTCCCCTCGAGCCAGTCATGGCGGATACCCGGCGCGTAGTCTCCGCATGCGCTCGAGTTCCACGAGAAATTGGTGTTGCGGGTCGGCGTAGTGGCTAAGGTCTTTCATCTACATTGAGACGATGAGGGACTTTCTGCGGACCTGAATGGGTACATGCAAATGAAAAAGGCCAAGCCAGTTAGCAACGACGAGAACTCAACGAGATGTGGAGGGGTCGGGAGCCGACGCAGCCCCCCCGCCAACTCCACACCTTTCAATTGAACCCCCCCTCCCCCTTCCCCCCCGGTTCAACTGCTCCCAGCTTGTCAACCGTGGGCTTACCCCCAATATGGTGCCTCACGGTCGGCACGGCATGCGAGTGGCCATGCGCAAAACGCGGATTGGCAGAGGCACGGCAGCTGGGCAATTCATAGGGCCGGGGCCCAGCCTCATTTTCGAACGTGACTCGGCGTCGGATGCATCTAAAGCGTGAGTGTGTGTCACGACAGACGTTAGGATAGGCATTCAAGATTAGGTAACCAGAAAGTAGACAGCAGCCCCCCCCCCCCAACTCCACACGTTCTATTGAACCCCCCCTCCCCCTTCCCCCCCGGACAACTGCCATCCCAGCTTGTAAACCCTGGGCCAAGCGACTCCCAAATGTGCCTCACGTTCGTCACGGCAAGCAAGTGCATACGCATCCAAATTGGCATAAGCACGTAAGCTAAAATGTCCAAGGTCGGGCCTAGCCTCATTTTCAATGATGACCCTGCCTCTCCACCTCAAAAGTGCCCACTTGTGTCACGGCCCTCATTTGCAGCAGGCTTCTAGGTTAGGTAACGAGCATGTAACCCAAAGCATGAGCACTGTGTCAGGACGCGTTGCATGGCTTCCACTGAAGCGAGGAACAAGTTTATCCCGGTTCGCAAAACCCGAGCCAAGCGACTCCCAAGTTCGCTTGAGTCGTCTGGACAATCAAGTGCGGAAGATCCAAAAGGATAAAAATAAGGTAAAAAGTGCAAAGTCGGGTTAGTCGTTGCAAAGATGGTCCATCCTCTCCACTCAAAAGCCCACTCGCGGGGGGGGCCTCATGGACAGCAAGCTTCTCGGGTTGTGGACGAGCATGTAACCCAAAGCATGGGTGTGGACAGGTGCGGCGCATTGGTGGAGAAGGATGAACAAGTTTGTCCCGGCAAGGCATGGTGCGAATGCGCCGCGATCTCGGTGGCCAACCTGGGGAACGCCTCAGAATCTCAAGGTGTAGGGCTGAACCTCCAAGGTGAGGGAGGAGGGTCTTGTCAGCGTGCCAGAGGGTTTGTAAATGGAGCCTGTGACTCTTGCATCATCCTGTGTTACCCTATACTTTCACTGGTTGTGGTTCCTTCGGTCTGGGAAAATGGTGCTGCATGCAGAATTGAGTTGCGTGCATCCTTCCTGTTGCGGGCAGCTTCTTGCTGGTCCCATCTCATGTCAGTGAAAATGGAAGGACTGTTGCAAGATTTGGCCTGTGCAGACACAGCCAATGGCCGCCCAACATTAGCTCATCAAGTGGGTATGCTACACCTATTTGGTTTAGAGGGAACTTTTGGCTCTTCTCTGCCCTGGTCGTCTTGTGGGTCTAAAGTGGGTCCTGCCTGGGGACCCAGGGACCCCATTTATCTTCCCATTCCGCTGTGCGCTTCTTGCCCATGCGCAATTCCGCATTGATGCGACAGCTGGGAACACATCGACAAGAAGGCAAGGAGCGGCTCGACTAACTAAGCGAACGCCCTCGCTTGCCGGTCCAATCGTCCGGCCGATCGGGACGTTCATTTTGTGTTTGTGTTCCACTTGTTCCTGTGTACTGGAGTGTGTGCAACAAAGAGCGGGTCTCGAAGCCTCATCTTCAATACCTTCCTCGGCGAAGGATCGGGAGCTGAGAACTTTAACTTTTCCCGACTTCTATATCGAGCAACAGCCAATCGGGCTCTGTCGTTTGTGCGATGCGGCACTGTGCTCTGACATGACTCTTCGAATATCACATATCCGTGCTTCCTGCGCTCTCCTTCCCTAATTCAGTGGTTACCGCAAGTCGAATCCGTCCGTCCGCCCATACAACGACGCATGAAAAGGCACGCTTCCTAGGTAGGCCAGCCAATTCCGTGGGATTGCTGGCGCGGGGGTTACACGCACAGCAACCCACAGTGTCTCACAGCGACATGGAAGAAGCAGCACATCGTTCGTCTCATTTGCGCATGCTTCACAGCTTCAGCACGTTTCTATGTGGGACTGCCAGGATCATCAACTGGGAAGTGATGCAACTTCTGGAAAAGTTCTAGATCCCCCCTGCAAATCTACCCCGGTTCAAGATCGAAAATAACTCCATGTCCATCTCCATGTGCAGACTACACGACACTAGTGTAGTTATGCGAGCTTGAAACGGCTTCTGCGACTCGTGCCATTGAATGCCGCTCATCTGTCCCCGGCCGTGGCCGGTCTGTGCTGCTACCCGTCTGCCGTCATATTGGTTTGGTTGGTGTCCGGGGAATAAGCTTCGTGCACTGCCACACTGGTCCAATGTGACTTGAGAAGTCAACAACCCTGAAGACAGCTGGGACCCTTGGGCATTGGTGCCCACATTCGGGACGACGATCTCTGTCCCAAGATTTCTCCAGGATCCGCAAGTGGCCCACCCGGAGAGGTTATTTTTATTTTTAAACACTGGGCCCGACGACATGGTCCGTCCGACCCCCAAGAACGCCCAATGCCGTGACCTGGCCCAGGTTTGTTTAGTTGATGTTGTATTTCAGCTCGACGGCCCGTCGCCAATGGGATTCGCTGCCCTGCGTGCGACCAGAGCTATTTGTTCCTGAATTAGCCCTCGTGCTTCATCGATGTTGCAGCGCCGCGCGATAAATCCAATGTTCGGGCATGGCTCCCATGTTGGTTCCCGCTTTTATTGTCGTGACAGACTCATACCTCGGTGATAGCGGGGATCGCCGTCATCTACTTGCAGCGATTCATGAAGTGGACGCGGAGCCCGAGGGCACGATCATCAATCCACAGCGGGCATTTGGCGATCTTTGACATACATACAAGGTCTCTGACCGTGACCCCACGTTTGGGACAGGCACGATGCCGAATGGTTGCTAAATACTCCCGGTCAGTTCATTGGCTGCTGCTGGGCAAGTGGACTTTGACTTCCATGTTATGATGCCATGGTTGATTGGGAGCTAAAGCTCTCTCTCATTTGTAGCCTCTAACTGTCAGCTACCAGATAGATCCTTGGGCAATGTGAGAACATGTGTGATTATTCGTTGTAGTGGCCGTGTTCTAAAAACTAACCAAGGAACGGCATCTTCATTAACTAAATCAATGCTTCACCAATATGAGAAAGGGCAACGAAATGCTTCACGATCATAATTGACTTCTAACTACCTAACTGCCATGATCCTAACACGATAGAACTTGGTGGCGTTTTTAGAGGCGGGAAGCTTGGTCGGTCTGAAACGGGACTACGCTAACCGTTTACAGCAAGGTTGGGTCTAAATTTAGGTGACTTCGACATCTGAAAGGCGTGGTGGGTCGGGCGGCGGTGCGCCCCGGTTGACAAGGTCATGGTTGGGATGAACGGTGAACGTCTTTTTGGACGAATACTTGTACAGATCCCGACTTGGCTCAACGCTTTCAACGACAACTGGCACTGCAAGTCCAGTGTCATTCATGAGGGAGGGAAAGGGGATTGCCGCACGCAAGATGCGCATTGGCTGTTTGCGCGGCTGGGCCGTTTTCTTACCTTGGTCGAGGGAGCGGTGGAAAGCATTGAGAGGTCAGTGGTAAGTCAAAATGAACATCGCATCATGAAAATCGCCGACCCTCGCAATTGCCGTTTTCAAAGCCGGGATGCTGATGGAATCAGAGACCGATTTCGCGCGGGTGGGCTGAAATCTGCCTTGCCAAGAACGAGGCGTGAGGCGTGAGGCATGAGGCGTGAGGCGCGACGAGTGCGATGCAACGCTTCACGGTTGTGGCGGCTGGCTTGCCGAAGGGGCGTAAAATGGGCGCCGCTTCACAACAGAACCCTTGGATGCCCGCCACTTTCCCCCCGCTCCCCCCTCCCCACATCGCGATCAGGTTCAAGCCCCGGCACTGCCCATCCTAGCCTAGAGGTCATCAACTGAGGAGAACCTTCAGCCGCAGTTTATCTTTAGCATTGTCGAAGGACCGTGGAAGATCTTTGCCGTTTGCCTGCATCAATCTCGAAATCCTGTTGTTGAGTCCCCCATGCTGCCCGTCCGTGGCCCAGTCGGACTCCATCGGCCGTGATCGATACCCTAGATGCGAGAGTCAGTCTTCCCGGGTGAACTTTACCGTCGGCTGCGGCGGAATGCGCCATCAAGACTTGACTCCTCCGCCCCGACTGCCCAAGGTCTCGTCTCGTCTCGATTTTTACACACCGGAGACGTAAGGCCGCCGGCGTAAAGGCGCTTCCTTCCCCGCCGGTGGGAGACGAGGATATTCGCCGAATTGTCCGTCCCGGACTATTTTGGCGATGAAAATAGCACGACGTCGCAGCCCCCTTCCTGGCAGGTTTCGATGTCCCAATTGCTGATCGTGCGGGCGATCTTTGGTCCGATTTCGCTCGTCTGGCATTCCCCTCCCCCTGGTCATCGCGATAAGGTCCGTGTCCTCTGGCCAAATGCCTCCCCCCCGGACCCATCCCAATGCCAAAATAGCCTGGCGGTGTTGTCGGTTTTGACCGAACCTTCTGCCGAGGCTCGAAATCCGCCAAGAGGCGCTGCGCCGTTGAGGTCCCAAAGAGCGCGTTATCTGTGTCGCTCCGTTCCCGACCTGGTACAAGTTCGATAACAAAACCCCATGCCACCCAAAGGGGTTATCCTGCAAAGGACGCTCGAAGCGGTCAAGGTCCATCGTATTCGAACTGCATGCCGTTTTGGATCCACCTTGGCCGGATGACCTTCCCTTAAAACCCGCCAATGAGCCACCGGGCTTTTGTTGCACCTGCATGGTGTCAGCGCCACAACCAGTCAAGAACCAGCCAAAAGCGTCGCTCGCCCACAACCGGCACGCTCCTTGGTTCCGGGTCGAGATTGGAGGTGCTGCGCTTGGAGCCGAGCAAATCGAAAGAGTCGGGAAGTGTTTCGTGTGTTCCGTGTGTTTCGCCATTTCAATGCCTGGGCAGTGCCGGAGACCATGCCACCATGGATGGTGTGATGTGGTGCATGCCGATTATTGAACATCCATCGATTGCAAATGTCGGGAAAGGCGGCGCGGTGCGTGACTGATCTCAGCGGCTGACTGAGCTCGGTCGTGATTGATGTTTGCAGGTTGCGACACCAGAGATATAAGTATCCCGACTGCTTCCTGTAGGGAATGGCGGTGCAATGGGGGTTTTCTCGTAAAATCAGTGCCTGTTTTGGCCCCAGCGGTGCGAAAAGCTGTTGCCTGCTCGTGGGATGCATCTCAGGTGCTGCTCCGCCTTCTTCTGGCGGCCAAGGATTCTTCAGCAGCGCTTTCTGTTTGCCAGTGCCGCAAATCGGTGTTTCGAAACATGAAACGACTCTCATCGATTCGTCTGAAGCATTTCCGTGCCTCAAAAGTGGACAAGAAGTCGCGGTTTCAAGCTTTGAGAAGCTGGGGTGAAGCATGCCTTTTGTCTGATGTTTTGGCGCTGGGAAGGACCCTCCGTTAAATCCGGTCGCCCTTAGTCAACGCTGACAACGCAGTCCTAGGCCAACTTGGCTGCTGACAGACGGAACGCCACACATCCGGAAGGTGGCAGCAAAAAGCTCCCGATGGCGGGGTGCTCTGGATGTTTAGGAGACCAACACACGGACTTTGTACAACATTTAACACCAAAATATCCGGTGTGCTCCCTCCGCGTTCGCTTCAAAGGCCCGATTCCATTTGGAACATTTGTGATTGGTACGATCAAGAATTAACCGAGGCTGGCATGCAAGGCCACACAGGGAGGCTTGGTTGGGATTTAGACGCCAACTCCATTATTGTACAGGTTCTACACGAGGTGCGCCGCTGGTGCAACTCACAGCTACATATCTAACACGGCGCGGCTGATGCGCCTGGTAACCCACTGGGCTGTAGTGCACCCGCTAATAGAAACCCTGTGATTCCCGTAGCGCCTTCCGTTCCGCCACGCGCCTCTTAAAGCGGATCTCGGCCTGTCTCCGTTCACCACCGTCCACCTTGTGCCCCCTCTTGTCCTCCCACATGCCCTCGGTCACCGAGATACGCGCGCCGCCGTACTTCATGGGCAGCGCATACGGGCCGACGATGGTGCGGACCCCTTGGACCTTGAAGCCGTTGACCAGAACCATGTCCGAGGGCGATACCTCCTCAATCTTCTTTCCGGGCGGCACGTTCACAACACGCCGCACACGGACCAGCGGAGACTTGTCCTCCTCCCGGACCCTCAGCTCCGCAGAACCGTTCTCGATGTGCTTCAGATCGCCACCAATACCGAACTTGCCCTCCCTAAACCGTTGCCTCCACCATAGGAGGTATTTCCTCGTACGTGGAGGCTCGACGCCGAGTTCTCTGAGTTGGTCCGAAGTCAGGGTGAAGAGAGCATCCCACGTGGGGAACTTGGACGCGTGCTGTTTGAGGCCGCGGCCGATCACGGTGAGGAAGGTTTCGACATCGGGGACGAAAGGAATCGGGGCCGGGATCTGGGGAATCTCGGATTGTTGTGTGGACTTATGCGCCCATCGTGCTTGTATCCTGAGCGCAGGGGCGGCGACGGTCGGAGCGACGCAGGGTCGGGATAGGAGCCCGAGAGCGGACTGTACTCGTAGGGACTTCATCCGTGCTGCAAAAAGGGTCAGCGATTGCGGGTATTGGACGGCCAATTGGCTGCGGAAGATGGAGAGATATGGAAATGCGGCTGCTGGACCTAACCTACCTATCGAAGAAGTGGCTCCAAAAGCTAATGGTACCCGCGGGTCATACCACGTCAAGAGGACTGGAGCGCCTCGAATATTGTTCAAGCGTCCAAAACAGGCTGACAAAGTGGGAAAGTTTTCGCAGCCTCGGAATTCTGGTGCCCGAGCCGCGAATGGGTCTTGGCGCAGGTGGGGGCGAGTTCGGTTTCCCCCCGCTCCACATCCGACTTCCCAACAAGAGCCGATCTCCAGGTCACGACGCCGACCAGACATCGACTAGTTATAGAAACCAAACGAAGACTATCTGGAAGCCCAAAGACTTATGTTTATCTAGTTACTTCCTATTACGCTTATTTTTTTTATTTGATTTATTTCAGGCAGTTTCTGCTGTCCTCTCGAGTTCGTCTTTTGGGCCAGAAGATGCACCATCTTTGCTAGCCAATGAATGCGCAAGGCTACAACCGCCAGGCAGTGAGCCGTGGTGAGCTGCACTATCTATTCTCCTCGACCTGACTACCTCTCTTCAGAATACGTTCCCTTGAACATCCAAAACCCAGTCTACTGATCTTCTACGTGCACCCGCCGCGCCAGGCTCAATTCAAATCGTCAAACCTCGATTCAATTCTTCAGCCCTTTTTGTATCAATCCATCAAGGATATAAGTCTGCGGAACCCAGAGATATCTGGGATATATATCCGTGTTCATACTCGGTCATCTACCTTGCCACATCAAGCAAATTCTTTTCTTCTTCCTTCCACGTGATCACCAACCACCCCGCCGCCGTTCATCGCAAAATAACCCGGGTTGGATTCACGAGATACGATGGCCGGCACCAAAGCAAACGGGAAGTCGAAGTCCCAAGGGCGGCCGGACGTCGCCGCAATGACTAGATCCGATCATATTGCAGCGTTTCTGGAATGCATCGGATCTATGCCCAGTCAACAGCCTACATCCCGGCCCAGAAAGCGTGCCAGAACAACCAGAGTTGTCGACTCAATATGCATTGCTCGGGAAAGACTTTTCGTCACTTACAGCGATATGGATGCTTCCCAGTCAAGTTCAACTATCACACGGACAGATGCGGGGCAACTTGTCGATATCCGGCTTTGCAGGATGGATTCCGAAATTCCAGACGCCGGCGGCTGGCAATTGAGCCTCAAGCCACGGGCCAACTATCGCGGCCGTCGGTTTGTGTTGAAGCTCCCTTTAGATGATGCCACCGTTACACAAGGCTTGAAGACCGCTTTGCGTGTGGCGGAAGCCCATGCGTCGAACCCCGGGGAAGAAAGCTGCCTCTGGGCTGGCGTGGATCTTTCTGTGCGACAGATCAGAGAGTCGATTGAGCTACGCTTATCAACAGAAGTGAGGTGGAACGAGAGACTGACGGTTTGGGGAAGCGACCGATCAAAGTTGAATTTGCAACAAACACTGCGAGACGAAGCCCTTGAGACATGGTACCCGCACCTCCACCAGGCCACCAGCAAGCCACACTCATGGTCCCCGCAAGATTTCTATGAAGCCGCATGTGTTCCCAGCAAAGATGAGCTAGATGCGGAGGTCTCGGCTATGGAAATCGCAGGGCTGGAAGCTGTCTTGTACCCGTTCCAACGTAGGGCCGTCCAATGGCTTCTGCGACGGGAGGGCGTGCAGTGGCATCGAGACGCCCCAAGCAAGCAAACCGCCATCCGGCCTTTTATTCCGCCGGTATCACCCGACCTTCCGGTTTCCTTTGCCGGTGCCAAAGACGCCGACGGTAACACAATCTATATCAGCCCTTTACTCGGCGCTGCCACCAAGGATACATCTATCTTCCAGCCTTTCCAAGTTCTCCGCGGTGGCATTCTCGCCGAGGAGATGGGACTCGGGAAGACATTGGAGATGATCGCGCTGATACTTTTGCATCAGCGGCCCGAGTCCCCTCCCATGGTCTTTGACCCTAATTTGGGCCGGGAACTCCTCACCACCTCAGCGACCCTCATTGTCGCACCCTCGTCCCTCCTTGACCAATGGCTTTCCGAGCTAAATCGACATGCCCCAGGCCTCAAGGTCGTGTTTTATCCTGGTATCAAAGAAATGGCCAAGCTAAAGGGCGAGAACGAGTTATCTGTTGAGAAACTGGCCGAACAGAATGTGGTAGTCACCACCTACGATGTTCTCAGGAAAGAAATATGGGCAGCTTCAGACGAGCCGACCCGTTCCATGCGCAACGAGCAGCAATACGAACGGGTCAAGTCCCCTCTCGTCCAGCTTTCGTGGTGGAGGGTGTGTATTGACGAAGCTCAAATGGTTGAGAACTGGGCAAACAATGCGGCGAAGCTCGCAAGGAAGATCCCCCGTATTAATGCTTGGGGTGTCACGGGTACGCCGGTCAAGGACGACATCCAAAAAGGTACCTAGCAATCACGCTCCCATACTCCTAGTGAAGTAAACTGACTTTGGGCCTGTAGACCTTCGCGGCCTGCTACTCTTTTTACGGCACGAACCGTACGCATCGGACACCAAGACCTGGAATTTTCTCACTACTTTCGACAAAGAGTCTTTTCGCAAGATTTTCAACTCGATATCTATGCGCCACAGCAAGAGTTTAGTGAGGAACGAGATTGACATCCCACCACAAAAGCGCTACGTCATCACCATGCCGTTTACCGCCGTTGAGGACCAGCATTACCAGAGTCTTTTTGAGGAGCTCGCTGGGACATGCGGCTTGGACGCCCGAGGCAACCCCCTGCAGGCCGATTGGGACCCCGAGGACCCTGAAGTACAGCGCTCCATGCGCGTAGCTCTTGATCGGCTTCGTCAGACTGTCCTACACCCCGAAGTTGGAAACAGGAATCGACGTGGCCCCGGGCAGAAAACCGGCCCCATGAGAACCGTCGCCGAAGTACTCGACGCCATGCTCGAGCAAACAGATAGCTCCGTGAGAACGGATCAGCGGGCTTTTCTCTCTGCTGGACTGCTAAAGGGGCAAATTCTTGCCTGCCAGGGACGGGAGCAAGAGGCGCTCGACGTTTGGCGAGAGGTTGCAGCAAAGTGCTCAGAATTGGTGGATGAAGGCCGGGCTCAGCTGGAACAAGAAATACAAGAAGCTCGTCGGGCGAAATCAGGCGAAGATAGCGAGACAAACAGTGATGGGGAAGATCGTGAAGATGCTGTGCCACAACGGGTGGGAGAAGCCAGACGCCGGCTGCGGTTGTCGCTCGAGGTTCAGCACAAAGCAGTTTTCTTCTGCGCAAATGCGTATTTCTCTATTAAAACCAACAAGGAGATGACGGCGCCCGACTCGGACGAGTTCAAGCGTCTAGAGAAATTGGAGGTCGAGGCGTATGATCGCGCCAAGGATATCAGAAGAGAGATTTTGCGAGAGGTAGGTTGTATTTCTCCACAGAAGCAACGAAGTCGTCCCCGACCAGAAACTCAGCTAACGATATTACAGAGTCACGGCAAAGCTGCGAAACTCATGGGCCGGCTTATGAAAGCTGCGGTAGAGCAATCGTTCGCGGTTGTTCCGGCCTTCGAGCCTATCGACCTGAGCGGTATCGAGAGCCGAAGGATTGCCGATGGCCTCGAGGAGCTCTTCGCGGGGTTAAATGAACAAGCCGCTGAAATTGACGATTGGCGTGAACACGTTATTCAACTTCTTCTCAAGCCCCTAGTTGACGAGGAAAATGACGAGATCACTGGCGAGGAGTACGAGCAATCAGCCAAGCTTCAGGATGAAATCCTGGTCTACCTCCAAATATTACGGACGGCAATTGCATACAGGAATTCCTCGATAACGGGACAAAAGAACTTTTTGGTGGAGCATGAAACGAAGGCAGCGGCTAGGAGGGCAAGGGCGGGAGAAGGACCACTCCCCGGGATGTTCCTCGCGTTATTGGGGTTCTGCGAGCAGGTCAAGCCGCCCTTTGTCGAAGGGGACCCCTTAACATCTGTGCGGGGGTTGGTCTCGGAGTTGCGTGCGCTGTCAGCAAAGCTCCAACACGACGCAGGGGCGGGATCATCCAGATCCGCGAGGGAGCTCGCCGTTGTTTCGGTGTTATTGACGGCAACAAGCGGCGCGCAAAAAGAACAAACCAGGGCTGTTACGGCCATGGAGAAGGAAACTGAGCGTTTTATGGATACGCTGAATGCTCGGATCGAGTATTACCGACAACTGCAAGAGGTCTCGGACACAGTTGCCGAGTACGAAGGCTCGTTGGAGCCTGATGAACTTAATGCTGCTCTAATTGAGGCCGAGAAGTACGAGGAGAGGCTGGAGAAGCAGCTTGATGCTGGCAAGTCGAAGCACCGTTACCGTAAGTACTTCCGCGATGGAAAATCGTGGGATACCACTGACAGTAAGCAGTTGTCTTTCTCAAGCACGAGGAATCAAACTCGGGTGAGCAACGAATGTGTATCATCTGCCAATCAAACTTCGAGGTTGGCGTCTTGACAGTCTGCGGCCATTTGTTTTGCAAAGAGTGCATCACATTTTGGCTACGGGCGCATCGAAACTGCCCCATGTGCAAAAAGAAGCTTCATCAGTACAACCTTTACGATATCACACTTAAGCCCCAGGAACTCAGGGTGCATTCAGAGAGGCAGCAGGCAAGTGGCGACAGCGGAAAGGACGAGCAGACGGCGCCGTCCAAGAAAGTCTCCGCCATTTACAGCGATTTCTCTGCCGACCAGTTGGCCGTGATCAAGAACATCGACCTGGACGGTCCGAGTTTCACGACGAAGGTGGACATGCTGACACGCCATCTCATGTGGCTGAGAGACTTCGACCCTGGGGCCAAGTCCATCGTATTCTCCCAATACAAGGAATTCCTGGACGTCCTCGCGCTTGCCTTCCGAAGGTACCGCATTGGCTACACGTCGTTCGACAAGGCACACGGCATCGCCATCTTCAAGGAGGACCCCGGCACCGAAGTCTTCTTGCTGCACGCGCGGGCACACGCCAGCGGGTTAAATCTAGTCAACGCCAACCACGTGTTTTTGTGCGAGCCGCTGCTCAACACGGCGCTGGAGCTGCAGGCCATCGCCCGGGTCGACCGCATCGGCCAGCAGCACGGGACGACGGTGTGGCTATACATTGTCGACGGCACGGTGGAGGAGTCCATCCACGACCTTTCAGTACAACGGCGCATGGAGCACATGGGTGAGAATACGAAGAGCAAGTCGAAGGAGTCGTCGTCTGAGCCGCTGGATGCGCAGCTGGACGAGGCCAACGCGCTGGAGATGCAGCAGGCGAATCTGTCAAAGCTGATGGGCAAGGACGGCATTTTGGGGGAGGCGGTGGATAAGGATGCTTTGTGGACGTGTTTGTTTGGACACTTGTATCCGAAGGGGAGGCAAGGGGAGAGGCAGGAGGAAAGGGACCCCGCGAATCCTGAGATTCGCCGGCTGCTCACTATCAACGCAGCGGAGAGGCGGATAGAGGAGGAGAATTAAGAGAGGGCTAATCTAGGTAATAGGGGATTGAGGGGATAACCAAGTAGAGAGAGATCCGGGAGGTTGGATTAATGATTGTGATGAGAAATTAATAAATAATTAATAGATCGCGGTTCCCATAACTGTTGTGAAACTTGGTTTCCAGGCTTTTCTCAATCAGGTGCCGTCACTGTGGTTATTGTCCCGGCTGTCAATGGGTGTTAGTTGCGCAACAAGCCAACAAGGGGTAACGGCTCTAATTACGTCACGATACGCTGATTGATACCGTACGGCGTAATTATCCCCTGCCCAATACCTATCGCGAACGCCGCGCATGCCCATAAGCTTGAACTTGGCACCGCCCGGGCATCATACGGCGGACCGAGTATTCGTATAGTACTAATCATCGCAACACCCCGTCCGCTCTTTAGCAATCCACATTTTACCAATGGCATAACGACGTAACGAGACGACGACTCGACCTGTACATACATTACATGATTACCAACCTTTCAACCCACCCGGCCTGTATCCCCCGACAACACCACGAACAAACGAACAGCCATGGCTACCGCAACGCGAAGAGGCCCCGGCCCCGGCCATGCGCCGAGGACGAGCATCCTCCAGACACTACAAGCCACCGAGATGATAGACAGCAAACCCGTCCTCCCAGCCGGTATGCTCCCAACCCAATCCATTCGTCTCCTCTCCCCTCTCCCCCCTTCCCCCCACCCAACCACCCACCACTAACCAAACCCACCCATCTTACTCCAAAACACAGAAATCCTCGCCACCATTCTCGACCACCTCCCCGTCGCCGACCAGCTGCGCTTCGCCCGCGTCTCCCGCCGCATGCGCGAGATGGTCTACGACGACTCCCGCTGGGTCGCCCGCCTGCGCGCCCTCGGCTGCTGGGACGAGGCCGCCGCCCGCAGGCGCTTCGAGGAGGTCATGCTGGCTAGGAGGAGGGCCGCTTCGACGGCTACGAATGCTACGAATGCTAGTGGGGGTGGGGGAGTTGGGGGGGTGGAGGGTGGGGGGGGGGGTGAGGATGGGATTGGGATGGGGGGGGTGAGGCTGGGGAGATGGTTGTTCGATGCGGGGTTGGAGGAGGAGAGGACGAGGAAAGAGGCGGAACTGAAGAAGGCAAGGGAGCAGCAGCAGGTGCAGGAGGTGGCGGATGGGTTTGAGACCATGAAGGTTGGGGGGACGACGGCGCGCGCGCCACACCACCCCCACCAGGATCCGTCGACAGACCCGGAAGCGCTGTTGCGGGTTATAAAGAATGCGAAGAGCGTGCGCGGCTTGGCTAGGCAGGAGTACGGCAAGATCTATGGCGCGCTGGCGCCTTTCTACTTCGACCTCGTCCGCGCCAAGACACACACCGATCCGCTCGTGTTCAAGGTGTTCCGCGACCCGGAGCGCCAGGCCCAGATGCTGGCGAATTTGCGGACATTTGCTAAGAGTGATTGGTCGCAGGGCGCGCAGAAGAGGGAGGAGAAGGTGGACACGATGACGGGGATATTTGAGAGCGCCGTGCTGCGCGAGTTTGAACAGGGGTATGAGTTTTGGGACGTCGACGGGCGGATGAACAAGTACGCCCACGTGCTGGCGCTGCTGAACGGGAGCAGTGCCGCCGTCGAGCTGTTCATCCAGAAGCACCCTGTTTTTACCGACCGCGAGGTGCTGGCCAACTCGATGGACTGCGTCAACCAGGCGCTGGCGGATAGCATAACGCTGGAACCGTCACGGCGCTTTTTTGAGGTGCTCACGCGGAAGGTGAACGAGCAGGCGGGGATTATCGAGCGAATATTCCCGAACCCGGTGCATGTGTTTTGGGTGTTTGTCGACAAAGTTCGGGAAGATGTCGTCATGGAGTACGCTACGCCCCTATTCGATGAGACACATGAGAGGAGTATACCGTCGTATTTGAGGGCGGTTTCTGGTATTTTTGAGCAGACGCTGCAGTTCTTGCGGACGCTGACGCCACCGAAAGGGGCAGACGTGGACCAGGAGGCGAGGGCGAAGGAATTGGTGCTCAAAGCGTTTGAGCCGCATCTTGACCTGTATCTGCAGGATGAGATCGACGAATTTGCTAGGCAGGCGGAGGAAGAGGTTGGTGAATGGGAGAAGAAGTTGTCGGAGCAGGACGCCAGCGCCGAATCGTTCTACATGGCAAACTTTACAAATCGGCAAGCGGATAAGAAAGACTTTTTGACATCGTTCAAGAAGGTCGTTATGATGCCCGTAACGGTGCTCCCGACGACGTTGACGACCTTTTCATTACCCGGCCTTCCACTCGGGTCGCCGTTCGCGAGCAAGCCGGCAGCGGCGAGCGCCAATGGCAGCATCGCGGCGGCGGATTTAAGCCAGCAGGATTCTCGCGCACAGTCTCCTGCCCCATCAATACAAGCGGCAGTTGATCGCAGTAGCAGCCCGATGCCGGGCAAGGCGCCAACTGATGAGCTAGCAGCCAAGGCGGCACTCATGACATCGAGGTTAGAAGGCATCAAATCTCTCTTCAGCATTGAAGTGGCACTGAGCCTGGTGCACTCGGCCAAGGCGAGCCTAGGGCGCGTTGCCGTGTTCATCCAACTCGGCGGACAAGCCGGCGGCGAGGCGCGCGAGCAGTGCGAAGCCATCTTCGTCGCACTACTGCGTATCCTGGGCAGCAAGCACGTCAAGCCGGGGTTCGACAGGGCCGTGGCGCACCTGTCGCAGTACAACCCCCGCGAGGTAAGCGAGCACGACAAGGGCGGCGTGGCGCCGCTGGTGACCTTCATCGAGCTGGTCAACGTGGGCGACCTCATCTCGCAGATGATCGACGTCTTCTACGAGCAACAGCTCGCCGGGCCCAAGATCGCGGACCGTAACGATTTCCTCGACCCCGCCGGCCTGGCCAAGAAGAAGTTCGAGCAGATGCTCGACGAGAGCGTCGCCGCCGGCCTCAACAAGGGCATCGACGTGCTCATGGACGAGGTCGAATACCTCTGCGCGACAACCCAGCTACCGACCGACTACAACCCGGGGGCAGCCACAGCCAGCACGCCAGACCCCGCCTCCTCCACAACCTCCTTCGAGAAGCGGGCGTCAACACTACCAGGCACACTAGACATGGACATCGGGCCGACGCGGACGGCGCAGCGGATTCGCGAGCTCGTGGCATCGCACACGTCGATGCTGGTGGGCAGCACGGACAAGTCGATGCTGGACGTGTTCAACGGCGAGGTGGGGCTGCGGCTGTTCACGGCCGTGTGTAAGCACCTCAAGCGGCAGCGCGTCAGCACCGAGGGCGCCATCAAGCTCATCGCCGACATGAACCTCTACTTTGAGTACGTCCGCACCCTGCGCAACCAGGACCTGCTCGCCTACTTCAAGGCCCTGCGCGAGCTGAGCCAGATCTACTTGATCGATGCGCGCCATGCCAAGGAGATGGCCACGATTATTGCGGATGGGGATCGGTTTGGGGGGATTTTTAGGGCGGAGGAGGTTTATGAGTATGCGGAGAGGAGGGCCGACTGGTATCAGGTTAGGAAGGATGTCGAGAGGGCCATGTACGGGTTGGAGTGCTGTTTGATGTAGAGGGGTTTGGCTGCACGAGGGGTATGGATATACAAGTAACGCTTCACGAATCGGTTGGGGATAGAGAAAAACGGTACCTGTTCTTGGTTTAAAGCGATGATGAACGAGCCTGGCGGCTCCTTTTTATGTATGAGCTTTGGCCTCCTAGAATAAAAACAACTCCTTTTTCCATGTGCCATCCCGTTGAACACCAGGCCCCAACGCCGGATTTGATATGATTATTATACTCCAGACACCGCCCCATAAATGGCAAAATCCAACCCTGCTAAGTTGTTTCAGTCCGGCCTACTTGGCCTGCCCAAAATCCAACTTCCTCGCGACCTTGGCGCCGCGCGAAGCAGCATCCTCCTCGAGAATCCCATTCCGCCGCTTCAAATCCGCGCCCATCTTCTCCTCACCCGCACCGCCCGACTTGCGCGGCAGATCCTCCTTCTTGGTCGGCTTGGGATCGGTGCGCCACCAGCGGTGCTGGAGCATCTCGCGGGCGGTGATGCGCTTCTTGGGGTCGAGGGCGACGGTCTTGACGAGCAGGTCGACGCCGTCGGCGCCCACGGCGCCGAAGCGCGTCATGTAGGCGTCCTTGCCCCACACGGCCACCACGTCGCTCGGCACCGTGTACTCGCGCAGCTGGGTCACCCCCGGCCAGACCTCCTCCGTCGGCGTGCCGATCTGCTTGCAGATCAGCGCGATCTGCTCCACCTCGGTGTTGCCAGCCAGGAAGGGCGCGCGGATGATTAATTCTGCGAACACCATGCCCACCGACCACACGTCGACGGCGCCGCCGTAGTGCCGCGCGCCGAAGAGCAGTTCCGGGGGGCGGTACCACCGCGTGATGACGTTGGCGGTCATGCGCCGGCCGGGGTCGGCGAAGCCGCGCGCCAGGCCGAAATCGGCGAGCTTGACTTCGCCGTCGGCGGCGATGAGTAAGTTGTTGGGCTTGATGTCGCGGTGTAGGACGAAGTTGTCGTGGCAGAACCATACCGCCCGCGTCAGCATCCCCATCCAGGCCTTGATGTCGCCCGCGCCGTACCGCACGCGGTCCACGTCGCGGATCAGCATCTCGAGATCGCCGAGGGGGAGGTACTCGAGAACCAGGTTAAGGTTCTGGTCCTTGGAGCTGAAGACGGATAGGAGGGAGATGATGTTGGGGTGGTGCAGCTCCCGCAGGTATTTGAGTTCGCGCACCGCGTCGGGCGCCATGCCGTCCTGATATTGTTGTTGTACCTTGATCTTTTTGATGGCTACCAGCAGGGAGGGGTCGCGGCGCGAGTGGCCAAGGTAGACGTTGGCGTACGTGCCCTCACCGAGCTTCTTGCCCTTGATGTATTTGCGCTTCTCGTCCTCGTTGAGCTGTTCGATCGGATCGAGGGTTATCATGGCCGGGGTGCTCCCGTCGGCTGGCGGCGCGGGGCGGTTGAGGTTGTGGATGAGGCGGGGGGTGCCATTGCCGCCGTTAGAGGAGGGCACGGTGGATGGGACGGCGGAGGGTTGACGTTTGAATGGTGAAGATGTTGCGCGGGCGGTTTGGAGGGCGTCGGAGGTGGGCGCGACAAGCGGTGAGACGGCCATCTTGACGGCGGTGCCGTCGCGTGCGGTCGGTATTGGAACGGTAAGGGTACTGTGTGTTTCGGCGATGTTGAAAGAAGGTTACATGGAATTGCGAGCGAATCGGAGAAACCAGGGGCCTGGAGAACCCGGGGGCGCCAAGGCTAGAACTCGACTAGGGGCTTAAAGCAACGCTAACTCCGATGATCTCCGAGAAGCCAACCACAGCCATTAGCAGCAAGTTTGTAGCACATCATTCTGACTGCAGGGCCGATCAGGGAATCAAACATCTCAAATCGTAGAATTGCGCCGAGACACAAACAGTAAAAAGAACGGCGAGCAAAGGTGAAGTCTCACACTTACGCGGCCTCGGGTCTTGGCCGTGGCTTGAGCATGTGTAAGAAGCTTTATCTCTTTAACTAGGTAGTTCTTTGTTGTCAGCGGACAGCAACTAATTAGAGGGTTAGGTGCCGAAATCACAGCCCAGAGCCCCAAAAGACTGCCACGCCAAGCCAACTTTGCTCACCCTTGCTACGTCACAGCCGGGCTGACGTCACGCCTTTCGGCATCTCCAAACCGTCCGAACACCCGATCGTGTTCCTTTTCTAGACAATAATCTTCGCCCAACTGTATCTTAGAGACACGCGGCAGTCGTGGCGTCTAGCATAAATTAGAGGCTGTGCATATTCAGTCCCAACTCGGAATGTTGTGAGACAATCACACCGCAGACTCGCTGCCAACAGCTTTTCTTGGGATGTTTAAAATCTTAGAAAAGGGAACGGAATTGTTAGGTAACTAGTTAGACTCGGCTGCCTGTTTCACTCAACAATCCTCCCGATCCTGGAGTGCAAAACCGGGCCGGGCCAGCGTTGCAACCAACACGGCATTAAGGTCCTCCTTTTGCGTCACTCGCGGATCCCTCCAAAACTCCGAACCTTTCTGGCCAAGATTTCACGAGAAGCCATCTTGAATCTTTAATCTTCCTTTTATCTTTTTAACCTTGGGGTGGGATTCTCGCCCATTGAGATCTCACCGTCCCATCTTCGCCCACCCACTACTTGCGATCAACTTATCCATTCGCGACTCTTTAGGGCCATTAAAATGATTCGCTTATCATACTGGGTACGCCCTAGCCCCTTGCACCTTGCTACCTACTCCTAACCCGATGATTCTAGGTAACTCCCATCCTCGCCGGCCTCGTCTGGCTTGCGACTCTCTTGGCTCTCCTGCTCTATTGGATCGTCTCTGAGAACAGCGTCCACTACTCTTCCATGTCCGAGTTCCAACGGATCGCCTACATCAGTGACATTGGCGCATCCGACCTGAAACCACTGTTCGTTACCGGCCTGTGTTCCTCACCACCGTGCTTCTCGATATCTCGTTCGCTTCCGACCGATGGCTGCGCCACAAGGGCCGCCTGGCCCCTAACACGACGACCGGCGAGAAGGTGCTCTCGGGGTTATCCATCGGGTTCGCAATCATCGGCACCGCCGGCCTCATCCTGCTGAGCATCTTCGACACGGCGTGGCAAACCCCACCCTTGCACAACATCTTTCTTCCTGCTCTTCATCGCCGGATACGTGATATCCGCAATCTTTATCTGCTGGAGAATACCAACGGCCTAGGAAATGCGTAAGCCACCCCCATTCCTCCTTTTTCAAGACCCCCTCCACCCTCCACCACCCCAACCATCACCCCATCCCACTCCACCCCACCCAACCAAACACGTAGCATAACCCACCCAGGCTACCGCGAGCACCGCATCTTGCGCCTCTCCTTTTGGATTAAGCTCACCTTCGTCATCATCGAGGTGCTGCTGGCCATCGCATTCGTCTCCTGCACCTTCACCCGCCACTACAACGCCGGCGCCGTGCTCGAGTGGGTCATCGCCTTCATCTTCTCCGCCTACGTCTTCTCCTTCTACGTCGACCTGTACCCGGCCGCCGCCACCAAGCACGCCCCGCATCCCTTGCGTCCGGGCAAGCAGCAGCACCAAGAGAAGCAGCTTAGTGGTGGTGTTGGTGGTGGGGTGCCGACGGCGGCGGCGGCGCCCACGATGCGTCTGACGCGCGGGGATCGGGAGGCCCTGCCTCGGCCGTATAGCGCGGCGGGGGACATGGAGGAGGGGGCGTCGAGCGAGGCGACTCTGAATGGGGCTGCTGTTGCTGCGCCGGGGAATGGGGCGTCGTTTGAGGCCGTCAGGGTCGCGCAGGGGAGGAGGTCCGGGTCGAGGAGTCGCGCGTTGGCGAGTAACTTTTAGAAGGGGCCCAGGTGGGATGGTTGGAGGAATGAGTATATATACACATATGTAATTGATGACGGTTTGGGGGTGGTGGGTTTGGGGTTACAAGGCGTTGGGGGGGGGCAAGCGAGATCTGGGAATGGATCTCCAGGGGGGCATGGGTTGGATATTTTGCTTGCATTGCATGCATGGTCGGCCAGGTATTTGGCAGGCTTAGAGCCGATACGGCACATATTATACCATTTCATTACATGTAGAAAACCAAAACCACTGGTCGTATGCTTGTTGAGCATTTAATTGTTGTCCTGGGCAGTAACGTCACCTCATGTAGACCCTAAAGGGGTTTCGTGGCCGGCTACTTCAACACTTGAATCAAAATGCGTGATAGCATACCGTTCGCAAACACATCCCAACAAATAAATAATCCACACCCTGCGCCCAAACATGTCATGCAAGCCATCCAAGCTGCGTCGATCAAATCATACTTCGTACATACATACCCCCACCCCCCACCCAGCCTCCGATCCCCCTTGCCGGTCCTTGGCCCTCTTCTTAGATACGCCTACCCAGGTTAACCTGCATTATCGAATCCGCTGAACCACTGCATAATATAACCCAACTAATGAGCGGGGTATTGTTAGTGATCCAATGGATCTTCTTCAGATCCTTTTCATCTGCGCGTAAACTGCTGCTCTTCGACAAAGAAACCCAACGACTCCGCTCGGAGGAATAGATAGCCGGATCACAGAACCACCCATCTCATATTTCCTGACGGAACCTGCCTATAAGCCTCAGCGCACCATACTGGATAATGATTCTCCAACTTGAGCCTGCCTGTCGCGCCACCCACGTCACTAAGCCTTGGCAGAACGCCTCAGACCGTTGCTCTGGTTAGTCCTGTTACAGGTGCGGCTGCCAGTGGCCATGATCTCGGTGGCCAACCTGGGGAACGCCTCAGAATCTCAAGGTGTAGGGCTGAACCTCCAAGGTGAGGGAGGAGGGTCTTGTCAGCGTGCCAGAGGGTTTGTAAATGGAGCCTGTGACTCTTGCATCATCCTGTGTTACCCTATACTTTCACTGGTTGTGGTTCCTTCGGTCTGGGAAAATGGTGCTGCATGCAGAATTGAGTTGCGTGCATCCTTCCTGTTGCGGGCAGCTTCTTGCTGGTCCCATCTC